ATATTTTTTTAACTTAAAGAATACATGACGTTTATTAAAAATGTCATTTTCTTTATTCTAACAATTGTACACCCTTAATAAATTAGTTTAATAATTTCCCATTATTCTGCATCACCCACATAGAGCCTCATTCCTGGTACCTTATCATTCTATCTAGCAATGATACTCCTCTTATCTTTTTTTTCATCTTCAGACGTCCACAGTCGTGACACGACTAGTTCATGCGCAGCTCTTGTAAATTGCACACGCTACTCGTAACACTAATTTCTGTTCGTTTTAGAAAAGAGTCTGAAACGGTGTTCGAGTGAAGCCTTGTTTAACTTGATTTTAAATCCTTTGATTTTTGTAGGAAAGCATATTGATTTCAATTACTTTGGCCGACACTTTAATTTTGCACAGAAGTTGTTTCATGTAAGCATTAAAATACAAAGGTAACCGCACTGCCTTCGGGGACTGAACTCTCAACAATTTCCGAATTAAAAACCACTCACCGTACAAATAGTCATGTACCCGGTGCTGTCTGTATCCCCTCAACCCGTCTTGCCTCTGAACCGTCTGGGTCACCGATAGGCTCATTCTTGTATTTTCTTAAAATTCATTAAGAATAATTGACAATATCTGAAAAATAAACATATTCAGCTTAGCATTAAAGAATGAAAATAAAGTCGGTGAGTTTCAATGAGTGACCATCTTTGTTGGCAGAGCTGTAACTATAGAGGTTGTAAACAGCATGATCACCATAGCAACACTTTCATCGGGAATAACGGAAATTGCGTGTTTACCGTATTGCACTGTAGAGTGCGATGGTGTGACAAATTGGGCAGGTGGAGAGTTGGTAAACACAAAATGTGTCGTGTAGTAACTGTTTAGCTGAACCATACAGATAATTAAATGTAAGCAGAATGATTTTAGTATCAACATAAAAAAGTGCGAAGACTAAAGACTTGAGAGATATGACGTCGACTCTAGATACGAAATTCTGAACATATTTGAGTTTGTTTCGTGCAGCTTTAGAGACGACAGCAAGTAGCGTTACAATCATCAACTAAAAACACACACATGAACTAATTTTCCACTACTACAGACAGCAATGTAGACTGGGAATACTTCTATAACGGAAAAATAAATATATGTCCATCCTTACAATATACAGTAATGTAATATAATTAGAATCAAGGGTCAGTCCAGGATCGAAGATTTCTTCCTCTAGAAATGCTTCATTTTGGCTTGAAACTGAAATACAATACTTTCAACTGACAAGGTTACAGTCTTGGTTTTACTGTAAGTGGAGGAACCCCATAGCATGACCTCAGTCTTACAATTTAGATGCGAACATTTTGTTTCAGCAAACGTTTTACATGAGAATTGCCATCAGTACTGTAACAACCAATTTGATATGAGGTATACAGTATACACAGTATACTGTATGAGGTATAATGTGGAAATAGGTCTGAGATCTCCAGAGACATCTTAGGCACTCAGGAGTTGCAATATACAGTATGACCAGAAGCACTGAATATGAACATCAAACCTGATTAAAGATTTAAATATTTAAAATTAAATTAAAATCATTTGACAGCTGATAGAACTTGTAGTTGATAACCCATTGCATTTACTGATCAAATCTAATTGACATGTGTTCTTTATCACCAACATAATTTACAATTCTAATGCACTAATAAAGCTAAAAGGTTTATTTTTGTAATAAAAGTCTGATCTACAAGGATGCCAAAGAATTGAGTTGCTTCCTCCAGAAGGAAAACAAATGAATGAAACACAACAGCTAACACAACTGTACAAAAGTACACATGCATTTGGAGGTCACTACAGTTAATAAACCAACTTTATTACATAGAGTGTTTTACACAACACCCTTAATTATGAGATTGGCCCCATCAGTGAAGCAGCAAGAGCTGATTATGTTTCCATAATCTGTAGCAACTCCATGCTGTGAACACATACTATAAACCTTAAATGCTGTGTTCTGTATAGGATAGATACCTGTAAGTGCAGTATTTTTCACTGTGATCTTAAGGCTGTTTCACTAGTCAAAGTATGGCTATACCACACTGATGAGACCCAGTGGTCTGTCTGTCTATTGTACAAAGGTGTTATAGTACATGAATGCAATTTGTGGCCTTGTGGGTTATGCAGCTTTTGATTAGTCATTGTTCTATTTTTCAGACCTTTCTCACTATACCTTTACTTGTTTGAGTAGCCTGATTTTAACACTGTCGGTGGTTATTCTTAACCATCAAAACCAAATATTATGGAGGGACAGGCCTGGTTCTGAATGGTTTTACATGTCTTTTCTTTTGTTATTTTGTTAGTGGTTTCTTTTCTGACCAATGTCTGACCACAAGTGAGACAGATTTATGAAGTTATGAAACTTTAAATCTCACACTTAATTCACCTTTTCACATTGACACAACAAGTTCTTATGTTCAATCTGATTATTGGTTTTAGGGGGGAAAAGAATATTATATGGTACAATGCAATGCAATAATAAACAAATGTGGACAATCATCATGTCCTGACAGACTTGGTACATACGGTAAGCAAACTGTGTAAATCCAACAAAAACATGAAATCAGGAATAAAAGGGCAGAAAAAAGGAAACCAGAGAGGTGGACAAATTAAGCAAGGTTAGAAGAGAAAAGAAAGAATACAATTATTAAAAAGACATGAGGGGAAGCCACAGTCTTCGAGGTCTTTCATACAGTATGTCTGGGTCAAGAGTCAAGCTCTTAAAGAAGTTTAAAAACAGCTGCTGGGAAGAATAATACATTTTGAGTTTAAGCCAAGGAGGGAAAAGTAAGGAAAAGAGGGAAAGTACTGTACATCACATCCCTTACCCAGTGAGAGAAGGTGGCCGCAGAGTTTCTTTTCTTAACCTTGTGAAGGGTTGCACTGTTTAACTAGTGAAAGGGGCTGCAGTGACACAAAGCTGCCATTAGAGGACGCCAAAGCATCAATAGAAAAATCCAAAACTTAAAATAATAGGTAACCAGTTGGTAATTTAAGGTTGTATTTATGAATTGACTTTTTATTTTTTACATGGTGTTTATATAAAGGGATGTGTTTTACTTTTGTTGGTAAACAAAATAAATGTACGAATAATAATAATAATAATAACACAGAAAAAGTACAAAAAATGTTAAAACAAACAAAAAAGTATATGTTTTAGACATCGACTGATGCTCTCCTTAGTCAATAGTTGTTTTGTAGTCAATAGTTGTATTGACTTATTGCTGTTGGACAGGAGTTAATGTCATCAGATGGAATCCTGCTTTCATCAGGCATTTTGACCCTTATCCATAGGGTCCCTCCTGCTGGTGGGTCAGCAGTGGTAACCAGTCACTAGTCACTGCTCATCTCCTCCTGGCCTCCAGATTAACTCCTCTCTTCTCGTCCAGAGCCAGCATGAGGCTCTCTCCGCTGCCTTTCCCTGCCTTTGAACTGCTGTCTTAATGTCCCTCCCAGTCTTCCACCCTTTCCCTCTGCAGTCTTGTACCAGATTGTCATATTTGGCACTTTTGCCTTCAAAGGTCTCCTTACATCCTTCCTCCCAATGCATCGTCAGCTCAGTGAAGATCATCTTCCTTGCCTCTGGGGCATATCACTACATCTGGCCTTCAGGATGTTTGTACAACCTCAGGAAACTGCAGTCCTCTTCTAAGGTCTAGTCTCATGTCCCACAATGGAGCTTTATGCAGGATAGAATCCTTGATTTTCCCTGACTTTGTCCACTTCTCATCCTCTCTGACAAATGTAACTGTGTCATTGAATGCTATAGAACACCTGGAAAGAGATGCAAAAGGGCTCCAGCCTCCACAATTCTGTCCACGTCACTCTTCTTTTAGAAAGATTACACTTTGTCCATGCTTCCTGCACTCCCAGCTCCACTGATCTGGACCTTCAGCTCTTCTTCTCATGATTCCTCACTTCTTTCTGTACCATATCTCTCCTCTCTTTTAATCTGGATTTTTCCCACAGCTGGAAGTGTGTTGTTCCCAGACCTCGCCTGTCAGGACATGGGTTTCTAAAGATGTCCTGAAGCTTCAATTGACTCTCTGCTTGGGTCACAGAGTCCACAGCAGCCTTCTTCTTTCCTGATCTGGTAATAATTCCTGCCCCTCTGACCAGGCTGTCTCTGGACTTTCTAAAAGACATCTCCATCCTGCATTTTTCCCACCTTGAATTCTTCTACAAATGAAAACAAGGGGAGTTGCAGCTGAGATAAGAGATAACATTAGCATAAATAAACACAAAGCATTAAACTAGTAGTAGAAGATGCAAGAATCAGACAGAGATACCAAATTCGTAAAAGCCTTTCTGAAGACGGTTCTGAGTTAGGGTAGGTGACTCTCTGATATCCTTGGGGAATAACAAGAAAAGACCCTGTGAGCTTGGGGTACAAATAGGAGACCACAATCAGATGACTAAAGTTTGCAAGGTGGGGAGTAGGAAGATAATAAGACATAGAGGTACTGAGGTGAGCATGAGGGTTTTGAAGTTGACTGGAAACCCAATGAAAAACAAGTACTACAGGAAAGGAGTAATGTGATGCATTCACACAATCTGCTCAGGATTCTGGCGGTCAAATTCTGGACAAACTGAAGTGTGTTCAGTGTGGATTTAGATACCCCAGCAAGTAGGGCTTTACAGTAATAAATTCTGGAAAACATGAAAGTGTAGTGAATGAATAGGAATGACCAGGTTTTCTGCAACAGTCAGAGACACCAAAGGGCATAGTCAATAATATTTCATGTCAAGTACCACCGATAAGATTGATGGGTTAGCTTTAGATAGATTATGGGAGACTTCAATCTTGTCACAGTTTAAGTGAAGGATTTTTTTAATCATCCATGTTTTTATGTCAGAGATGCAGTAATGCAGAGTACAGACACAGCCACTGCAGTGTCATGTTTAGGGACATAGATTTGAGTATCACCATCATTTCTAAATGGTAATTCAGACCATGATCTTAACAGCTGACGAAGGGGGAACATGTACATTGCCCTCCAGATTTATTGGCACCCTTGGTAAAGATGAGCAAAAAATACTATGAGAAAATGTCTTTGTTGTTTATCAGCTTAATCTTACGCTGAAAATATGAGGGAAATCTAACTTTTCAGTGAGGTAAAGTAATTCAAAGAAAATCATTTAAAAAAAATAAACATTTTTCTCAAAAACACAGGCGTCACAATTATTGGCACCCCTAGAAATTCCTATGAACAAAATCTATTTGACATATATTCCCATTCATATTTTACCTTTTTTAAGCAAACCTGAGTCTTTAGGAACCCTTAAGTGGTCATCCACGACTTCCTGTTTCACTGGGGTATAAATATGAGGTAACAAGCAGGCCAAACACTCTTAGTCATCCATCAAGAAGGGGAGGTTAAAAAAATACAAAAATGAAATGAGACAAAAGGTTGATGACCTTCATAAATCTGGCAATGGCTATGAAGAAATAGCTACACATCTGAAAATACCCATCTCCACTATTAGGGCAATAATTAAGAAGTTTCAAACAACTGGAGCTCTGATGAACCTGCCTGGAAGAGGACACAAATATATTTGGCCCCCACACACAGTGAGGAAGATGGTTTGAGAGGCAAAACTTTCTCCAAGGATCACAGTTGGACAATTGCAGGAGTTGGTTGCATCCTGGGGTCACCAAGTCTCCAAAACTACAATTAGATGCCACCTTCATGCC